ATGATACGGCTAGCAGATAGTTCATGGGTTCTAAGGGTCTATTCAATTTCCGTGAGAAAGCATGCGATACATAAGAATGTGTAGACCCCGAATCAATCAATACATATGCATTTTGTGTACAAATAGAAAGGATACCTGACACAACGGTTTCAGTAATTTGCACGTCTCCCGGTACTAGGGCGAATACTCGGCCCTGCCTCATGGGCTCTTTCCCGGTAGCTTTGGGGTTAGGCTTTGGTGCTACAGTTGATGCTGCTGCGCTTGGCGTAGCTTTGCTACTAACTTGCGGGGTAGAGGGACAATCTTTAACCATGTGGCCCACCTTGCCACACCTGTAACAAGCTCCAGATATTTTGTAGCAGACCCCTTTGTGCTTCTTGCCACACTCGGAACACGGTGGTATGAAACCACTCCCTTGGCTGGGGCTAGTTATTGACCCCGTATTCTGTTTCTTATTCGCTGGGTTATGCTTGCCCTTCTTAAATTTGAAACCCTGCCTTTTACCACGCCATTCAGACGCTGGTGATTCGGTTTTCAATGCTTCAATGTTTGATTCAGCCATCAAGGCTCGGTCAAGAACATTTACATAGTTCGGTAGCTTCAAAACATTTATTCTGTCGAGAATTGCAACATTAAGGCCGCCTTCAAATTTCCTGGCCTTCTTATACTCAGTATCCACCATGTGCGGTGTATATCTAGCAAGCTCGGTGAATTTCGTCTCATATTCCGCAACGGACATTGTGCCCTGCTTTAACTGTTCAAATTCAGTCACCTTTCTATCCCTGACACACTGAGGGAAATACTTTTCAAAGAAGGACTCCTTGAACTGAGCCCAAGTTATAATAGTATTTGTATCACGGATCAACATCCACCACCTTCTAGCTTCTTCTTGTAGGGTGAAGGTAGCTAACAATACTTTATTCGCTTCTGAGCACGGAAACACTTCAAATAGTTTTTCTGTTTCAAGCACCCAAGCTTCAGCCTTTAGCGGTTCCAGTCCTCCCTAAAAGGATGGCGGTTTCATCTTGCTGAATTTATAGATGAGAGCAATAATATCCCCATCATTCACATTCGCATTAGGTTCCGGCTGTACCGGAGGAGAAGGAGGTGGGGGCTGTTGGTTCTGCTGTTGTTCAAGTCTAGTAGTTATCAGTTCCATCATTCTTTCCATTCTTTCCATTCTTGCCTCAGTAGATGAGGATTCGGGTTCATTTGCATTGTCCATTTCACTATAAGCAGTTATAACAGTTATAGCAATTGTAACATAAACAGTTGCATATTTAGACAGTTATCATATCCACATGTATTCAGTCATAACATAGCCACACACTTTTCAAGTTCATGAAATGCCCTAATCACTTTTCTAGGACACCCTATAGCTCATTTGGACACGTGTGTGCGGTATAACTCGTGGTTAAGTATCGCTCTGATACCACTCTGTCACGACCCAAACCCGGCCCTATGGGTTTAGCACCGTAACCGGCCAGTAATCCGAGATTACCGAAGGCCTGCTTAACAGTAGTACAGTAAAACAGAGTTCAGGGCCCGGCGGAAGCCAATACAGTAAATGAATAATGTCCATTGAGCTGTGACAGTCTGTATGCCAAAAAGATTTTTCATGCATTCATACACACAAACAGTACAGTCTATACAGAATTTACAGTCACACAGTACAGGGACCTAATCCCTTGATAACAGTACAGTTAACATTCAGTCTATACAATCCATTCGGTTATTCCAAACAGTAAGACAGTACAGAAGGAAGACAGTACAGAAGGGGGAATTGTAAAACACCCCTAAGCCTTGACATGATAGGCTCGGAACCTCGCAGTGAGGCACATAGGCTGGCTTGACAAAACTGGAGTAACCCTGACGCTCCTAGCCGCGGTCTGGTGCCTGTACACCTACATATATATATATGAGCAGTGAGTTAAAGCCCAGTGAATAACATCATGCGTAAAGAGGTTATGAATGAAATGTTCTTACAGTAATGAAATCAGTTCATTAAACAATACTTCAGTCTTTCAGTCAGAACAGTTATTCAGTCATATGTGGTACATCCATTAGCATAGCAGTAAACAGTAGGTCTTAAAGACCGAACAGTAATGATGGCCATCAATCAGTAAACAGTAGTGGTTCCACGAGGGAACCGACAGAGATCTCTGTAACAGTAACAGTAACAGTAATAGTAACAGTAGATGCCAAGGATGCCACAGTACAGTTTAGAATATAGGACATACATTCATTCAATAAACAATATCAGTTCCGTAAACAGTTCAGTTTAGTATTCAGAAGATAATCATTTGAACATATCTTTACACAATTGTTACTCACAGAGTTCGGGCTACAGTATGCTAGAGCGTGTCTCCCCAGTCGCCAACCCTACACAGTTAACAGATTGAACACACTAAGCTACACAGATGGGAAAGCTAATGACTTAATCCCTAATTGCCTCGGTGTGTTCTACATCTATATCCTCAATAAGATGGCTTAAACTAGGCCTAAGCATGCCTAGAATGGGATGAGGATGCAAAGATGTGATCAGAAAACAGTTTCAGAATATTCAGAAAAACAGAGTCCCGCTCGAGCGCAGTTTTCCCCGCTCGAGCGGACATGCAACAAAGGTACACGCTCGAGCGTAATCTTTCCCACTTGAGCGTACTGTAAAAGTACTGGATGGGTGAAATCTCCGCTCGACTGATGCTCGACGCCCGCTCGAGCTTGAGACACATGATTCCGCTCGAGCGCCCAATCCTCCGCTCGAGCGGACTGTAAAACAGTGCAGAGATACTGGATGCTCGGATTCCACGCTCGAGCGTCACTTCCCCCGCTCGAGCGGAAGTGCAAAATCTGGGAATTCCAGATTGCACCTCCAGGCCAAAAACCAAGTTCAAAAGCATCAAAACCGATCCTCTTGGGCTGAATTTCTGGAAAAACACTTGTAAACACATGGAATAACCTGATTCAAAGCTCAATTTGAGAAATCAAAGCCCAAGGGTGTTTTATTCAAACCCAATTTCAAACCAATTTCATGAACATGGAGAACATGCAAACATGCATGAATTCAAATCATTTCAAAGCTTCAATTTGATGCTCTAAGGAGCCAATTGATCCAAAAACAAGTTGAAAACATGGACCATTACAAAATTATGAACATGCATGTATCATTTTACCATGAATTCAACTCAAACTTCTACATTACAAACATGCATGCATGAATTAACTTCTAATTCAACAACAATGAACCAATTCTAGACTTAAATCACTAGAGGCTCAAGAATCTTGCATGAATAAGCTTAAACACAACAAGGAGGGGTTGAAATCCTTACCTAGAGCTTCAATTACAAGGCGAGAAAGCTTAATGTGCAACCTATGTTCCAATTCCTTCAATTACCAAGCAATCTACAAGCAAAATGAGATGAAATTCACTCCTCTAGTTCATCTCTCTCTCTAAGGTCGGCAAGAACAAGGAAAATGGCTGAGCAAATGTTTGATCTAGGTGTATAATGAGGCTCAAGTATATGTATTGAGTGGGCCACTAAGGGTGGCAATTCGGTAATTAAGCCTAACTCTTTAATTAGCTTATTTTAATCTAATTTAATCATACCTAGTCAGTTTTCAGATAATTATACCATAAAATCACATTAATTCTAAGGATCATAGAACACTAACCAATTCCCGGTTCGGCCGCCGATAAGGCCTTCAATTAGCAGTTTAAACATAAAACAAGCAGATAGAATACAAATTAACATACACACTCAGTCAATTCAGTTCCAGTTTTCAGTCAGTCAGTTTAGTACTTTAACCAGTCCAATTATCAGTCATAATCAGTTCAGTTTAACGGTAATCGATGTTCATCGGTAATCAATCAGTCATTAATTGATAAACAGTATGAGGGTTGTTACACAAGCGAATGGAGATAGAGGGAGATTGCGACCATGACGACGACGGCGAGAGAGATGACCACGACGACGACTGACCTGGTGTTCACCGACGAGTTTCACTGACCACCATCCACCGCTGTTCGGAATCTCCATGCCGAATGTCTTAAACATTTTGTATCTGTGCATGTAGGTAAGTAATTGGTTTATAAACTGATATTTGATACAGATATTTGGTTTATAAACATTTTGTCTCATTTGTCAACTGATATTTGATACAGTTTATAAACTACGGTTGTCTCATTTGTCAACTGATATTTGATACAGATTATAAACAGATTATAAACTACGGTTATAAAAAATTCATCTTGTATAGTTTTGTGAAAACTGTATGAAATATTTGTTTGATTTGATCTGTGTCTGTTATAAATTTTTTTTTTTTTGGTTGTTTTGGAAGTAAGCCATTTGTTAAACATTTCCATTGTAGTGATACATGCCAATTGTTTGATGAATGTTCCCATAGAGAAATCGTCCTGATTTTTTGTGTTGGTTGATGAAAGTCCTGATGCTAATTTGCGTCATCTTTGTTGATGCTAATCTGTGTCACTCTAAATTATGTTTGAAACTAATTTTGTCATTTAGGGTAATTCACCTAATCTCAGTGTTCTTAATTTACCTAATCAACTCATTACTCAGTGTCCTGATGCTAATCTCAGTGTTCTTAATTTACTCAGTGTCCTGATGCTAATCAACTCATTACTCATTACTCAGTGTCCTGATGCTAATCTCAGTGTTCTTAATTTATCTCAGTGTTGTCATACATTGCTAGTTAACTTTGAAAATGCACTCACATTGTTGTCATCTCAATGTTGTCATTTACCATCTAAGAACTTGAAAATCATTGTAAACCATTTCAATGATGTTTGATAAGACATAGAACTTTCATGGACATTAAAAGAAATGGTATTAATTAACTTTGAAATGAAATATCCCAATCCAATATAAAAAACTAAGTGGTTACTGGTTAAGTTGGAGAACCTTAGAAAAATTGAAATGCACATACATGCACTTACACTTTATTTTCTATTTGGTTTGAAGCTACACGAACTACATGCTTCAATGGACATTGATTCAAACAATCCTTCATTCAATGGGAGTGAGGAAGTTGAAGAGGCAGAGAACAATCCATCATTAAATGAGATTGGTGAAGTTGAAGAACCTAAGAAGGGTATGTGTTTTAGCTCAAAGCAAGAAGTATATTCGTTTTATGCAAAATATGCGAAGCACCTTGGATTTGCTATAGCTTATAGAACACAGAATATTGGACAAGATGGGGAAGTAAAATACTTTGGCATTGAATGTACTCAGGCACGCAAGAGAACAAAACGATCAGAAGTACACCCTCTCGAACCATCTTTGTCATCCTTCATTGAATGTAAAGCAAAGGTTAGAGCAACTCTACAAAAGGATGGAAGATTTAAGTTGACCACAGTTGTGCTTAAACATACACATGACTTGATTCCTAGTGACTCACGACATTTTGCAATGAATAAGAGAATTCTTACCCCTGTGAAGAGAAGACTAGAAATAAATGATGAAGCAGGGATAGGGGTGGCTAGGAATTTTCATTCTATAGTTGTTGAAGCAGGGGGGTATGAGGCATTAACATTTGATGAACGAGATGCAAGGAATCATATTCAGAGTATGAGAAGATTGAGGTTTAGGGTAGGAGATACTAAATCAGTTGCACTTTATTTTCATAGGATGCAACAACAAAATTCGAACTTCTATTCTGCAATTGACATCGATGAAGATGGTCGCATGCGAAACTTGTTTTGGGCGGATGCAAAGAGTAAGGCAACTTATAAAGCATTTGGGGATGTGGTTTCATTTGACACAACTTATCTGACAAACAAATATGATATGTCATTTGCTCCGTTTGTAGGAGTTAATCACCATGGGCAGTCAATTTTGCTTAGTTGTGGGCTGTTATCTAATGAGAACACTGAAACATTTGTGTGGCTATTCAGAGAATGGTTAAGTTGCATGTCTGACGTTCCTCCAAAAGCTATAATAACAGACCAGTGCAGAGCTATGCAAAATGCCATTGAAGTTGTCTCATCACAAGTTCGACATCGTTGGTGCTTATGGCATATAATGAAGAAAATTCCTGAGAAATTAAGAGGATATGCCCAATATGAATCCATCAAGTTTGCTTTGCAAAATGCTGTTTATGATTGTTTTACAAAAGATGAATTTGATGAAGAATGACAAGCGATGATTGCAAAGTTCAATCTAGATGATAATGAGTGGTTGGGGGTATTATACAGTGAGCGACATAGGTGGATTCCTGCCTATGTGATGGATGTTTTTTGGGCTGGCATGTCGACTACACAATGAAGTGAGAGCATGAACGCATTTTTTGATGGATATGTGAACTCAAAGACAACTTTAAAGCAATTTGTTGAACAGTATGATAATGCCTTGAGAAGAAAGGTTGAGAAAGAGATAAAAGCAGACTTTAAATCTCGAAACAAATTGTATGATTGCTTTAACGGTATATAAGTTTGAGAAGCAATTTCGTGCAGCCTACACGAATTCAAAATTTAAAGAAGTGCAAGTAGAATTGAATGACTATTGTATTGTCGTGCAAATCTTGTCAAAGAGGAGGGAGCAATTTGTACTTATCATGTGAAGGAGGCTGTTCTTGTTGGTGAGAAAATGAAGACTGTGGAATTTGTTGTGTACTTTAATGCAAGTGAATGTGAATTGCATTGTATGTGTCGGTGGTTTGAGTTTAGGGGCATTATGTATGCCCATGCAATTATTGTGCTACTTGAGAGGTGTATATATCAGGTGCTAGATAAATACATTGTATCAAGATGGAGAAAAGATATCGAAAGAGGGTACACATGCATTCCAACCACATACACTAAAGCCGGGGTTGTTCATAATGCAAAGTTGCATGATAAATACCACAAGATGTTGCATGAAATCATAGAAATTGCTGCCAACGATGATGGTAAACACGAAGTGCTTGATCTTGGGTTGATAGAAATAAAGGATAGAGTGAGAAAATATCAATCGGGTAGTGCGAGTCATGCACCACCTTCTACTAGTAATGTGCCACCTTCTACTAGTAATGTACCACCTTCTCATAGTTCACTGAGAAGTCCGTCTGCTCGTAGTACTACAAAAGCAAGCATGTCTCGCAAGATGCTTAGTCCTATGGTTGCTCGCCGAAGAGGACGTCCATGTACCAAACAAAAGGTTAGCAAAGTGGATGAAATAGTGAATCGGTTGAAGGGAAAGAATAAAAAGGCTACAAAAAGCACAAGTAAGTTTTTTTGCTGTGTGTGACATGGAAATTGTTGAATGTATTTAAGATAAATTATTCACCAATGTGTCTGTGTCTTACTATAAAGATGCACGGTTCCTCAATGTCAGTCTCGGAAGTTAAATTTTCCTGGTTCAGTTGATATGCAATACAAAACTTATCATGACCCGGTATGTATTTGAATTTTTATGTTGTTGGTTGTTTTTTTTTATTTTAATGTGTTTTATGTATAATGAAATTGTGTTACTATGATCATAAGGCGACGCAAACTACACCTTACTATTTTCCTTGCATGGATGGCACGCAATAGAGTATGTATGTACCGGTATGTGGTCTGTTTAAACTAAAATATTTGTTCTTGTTTTTATTGATATATGTGTTGAATGGACAATATTTGTAAAGTGTACTTGTTTATTGAATAGGCACAGTTTAGTCAAATGCAAACGGTGGACAATATTGGAGGCACACCTCATACTCAATCAGGAATGGTGAACAACATCAACAGTAAAAGTTCGACAATCGCTTCAAATTTTGTTCACTTCAATGTAGATGCAGATCCAAATTTCCCATTTTTTTTTTTAGTTTCGCATTGTACTTTTACTATTTTTCTTTTTTTCTTTTTGTATGGAATGCTCCTCAGATGAGTTTGTTTGTAGAATACTATAAATGATGTTGAATGATGTTTAACTATAAATGATGGCAAATTGTATGTTCATGGTTAACTATGAATGATGGCAAATTGTCTATGAATTTGATGTTGTTAATGGTGGCAAATTGTACTTCTATGTTAATGGTTAACTATGAATCTGATGTTGTACTTCTATGAGTCTGATGTTTAACTATAAATGATGACAAATTGTATGTTAATGGTAATATTTTCTGTTGAATGATGGCAAATGGATGTTGAATGATGGCAAATTGTATGTTGAATGGCCCACATTTTGAATGCTCAATCTGTATATAGAGACCCCGGGTCTCTACCCGACTGTCATGGTATTCTGGATCCAAATCTTGTTGTTTGATCCTGCTGGTTATGTCTTTCTTCCTTACACCTCTTGAGTTTGAGTTTTGGAATGACTTGAGCATGTTTAGAACAGGTTGGTCGCCTTTCGGTCTAGAATCTTGTTGCCCAAAATTTCGGTCTTCCGCTCGAGCAGGCCTTCTTGCGCTCGAGCGGAGTTTGCCATTTTTCAGTATCGAGTGTCTCTGCAAAAATGCTGCAAGAGTGTTTTTCACGCTCGAGCAGTGTTTCTTACACTCGATAGTGTCTGAGCTCAAGTGGCCCTTCTGGCGCTCGAGCGGATGTCTGTAATCTGTGAAATACTGGACAGGTGAAATCCACGCTCGAGCTGTTCTCTTTGCGCTCAAGCGAGTTGTTGTTGCTGTGTCTGACGCTCGAGCGTGAAACTTTACGCTCGAGCGGGATTCGCGTATATCAGATCGTAAAAGCGACTTTTTACATAACTTTTTCATCTCTTTTTCATCCAAACCCTAGGTTGAGAGCTTCTCTCTCTAGAAATACCCCCTCTCTCTGTATTTGACCTAGATCTAGTGGTCTTCTCACCCTCCTTCCTTAGACAAAAAGGTTGAGCTCTTCAAGATCTTCATTTCCATTCAAGAAGAAGTGGGTTTTGCCATTTTTGAAAGCTTCACCTTTGTCTCACCCTTCTCCTTAGGCTTCTACTTTAAGGTAGGGATATTCTTGAGTTATATATATTAGTTTTTCCCTTTTATGATGATTTAAGAGTTTTTTCTAGTTTGTGATGATATTAGCCTTGTGATTTCAAAATGTAAAGGTTTGCCTCAAAAGAGGGTTTCTCTTTTAACTCTAAATTTTTGGTCAATCCTTGAGGGTTCATCTTGTTGACCTAAGAAAAGAAATGTTTTGGGTGAGAGTTTTCACCATGAAATGGGAAGTGATGGTTTTAAGAAAAATCCTAGAAATTGGGGATTTTGGTAATATGGCAAATGTCTTTGAAATTTTTTATTTTCATGTTTTAAAATGATGAAGAGAGTAAGTTGCATCAATGTTTGGCAAAATGGAAAATTATTTGTTATATGAAATTGAGGTGTAAATGTTAAATTGTTGACAATACATAAATGAGCAAGGTTGTGGCAAGACTAATTTGTTATATCTTGTGATATGGAAATTGTGACTATGTGTTGATGAAATATATTAATCATGTGAATGAACATTGAAAAGAGAAGATGAGAATGTAAATGTTGACATCGTAGTAGAGATACTCAAGAGTGGAGAAATGTCTTAAAATATGGAAAGGATCATTTGCATTGCATGCTATTTCCTTTATCATAATGCATTGTGAATCTAAATCATTGAGATTTCCATTATGAGGAAAAGAAATAGTTATTGTGTTGAGAACTATGAAAATGTGTAAGGGGTAAATACGTTGATAAGTCCGGATGGGAGGTGTAGATGAATTTGTTAAGTTGGCTTAAGTGTCCAGGGTGAAAGACTCGAAAGCCGCGCGGATAGGTGTTGAGCCTTTAGGTTAGTACCGGTAAAAATGACAGTTTGGTAGTACTCGTAGAGTCTACTTACAGACATCGGCCTAGGGATTACCAGCGTCGTATTTACCGCTCCTATTGAATTAATAAATGGAAATTTGAAATTGATGAGATCACATGGTGATATTGAGAATATGGTGATTTTGAATTGGTGCATTGAAATGAATGTTTTTCCTCAGTACCTTAATCTTGGCATGGCATTGTAATCATATTTGTTTTTATGTTGAGGAAAAAGCATAACTGTATATACTTTGTAAGGATTCTCTACTGGGCTTTGTGCTCACCCCTGTGGAATTTGGTGCAGGTAAAGATGTGGTGATCCGCCGAACTGATGGTGTGGATATTTTGAGAAGAGTACATAACTCTTTTATTTTGTGATATTCTTTTGAGCCAATGGCTAATGTGTATGGGTTGCAGAAACCATTTGATGTAACCAGGCTCATGCCTTGGAAGATGTAAGCCCTTAACGGCATTGTATTGTTTTGAATGGAAGTTTTACATGCTATAGATTCATAAGTTTTGTATCGATAAATGTATACCCGCATGTAAAACTTTCGTAAAGACTCTTTTTTTAATTATGTAAAGATGGGCAGATGGTTGTTATTGTTGAGTGAACGTTGATTACTTATGGGTAGTTCATGTCGAATTATTTTGAGGCGTTACACTGTATGTCTATGAATTTGCCTGAATGCTCTAGGTTATGGTCAGATTATGTCTATGAATCTGCCTGAATGGGCCAGATTTTGAATGCTCAAATGTATGTCTTTGAATGCTCTAGGTTATGGTTCTTGAAATCTGTTAAAGATTTATTAATCTGTTAAACATTTTCAATCTGTTAAACAGTTCAACAGGTTATGGTAATATTTTCCAGGTTAATGGTAATATTTTATGTTGAATGATGGCAAATGGATGTTGAATGATGGAAAATTGTATGTTGAATGGGCCAGATTTTGAATGCTCAAATGTATGTCTTTGAATGCTCTAGGTTATGGTTCTTGAAATCTGTTAAAGATTTATTAATCTGTTAAACATTTTCAATCTGTTAAACAGTTCAACAGGTTATGGTAATATTTTCCAGGTTAATGGTAATATTTTATGTTGAATGCTAATGTGTATGGGTTGCAGAAACCACTTTGTGTAATCAGGCTCATGCCTTGGAAGATGTAAGCCCTTAAGGGCATTGTATTGTTTTGAATGGATGCTTTACATGCTATAGATTCATAAGTTTTGTATCAATGAATGTATACCCGCATGTAAAACTTTTGTAAAGACTCTTTTTTTAATTATGTAAAGATGGGCAGATGGTTGTTATTGTTGAGTGAACGTGATTACTTATGGGTAGTTCATGTCGAATTATTTTGGGATGTTACACTGTATGTCTATGAATCTGCCTGAATGCTCTAGGTTATGGTTAGATTATGTCTATGAATCTGCCTGAATGGGCCAGATTTTGAATGCTCAAATGTATGTCTTTGAATGCTCTAGGTTATGGTTCTTGAAATCTGTTAAAGATTTATTAATCTGTTAAACATTTTCAATCTGTTAAACAGTTCAACAGGTTATGGTAATATTTTCCAGGTTAATGGTAATATTTTATGTTGAATGATGGCAAATGGATGTTGAATGATGGAAAATTGTATGTTGAATGGGCCAGATTTTGAATGCTCAATCCGTATGTCTATGAATCTTCCTGAATGCTCCAGGTTATGCTTCAGGTTATGTCAATGAATCTGCCTGAATGGGCCAGATTTTGAACAGATCCATTCAAACAGATCCATTCAGTGAATCTGCTCCAAGTTATGTTTAAACAGATCCATTCATAATAAAATAGATCCATTCAAACACTACATTCAACATGTCAATCTGTTAAAATAGATCCATAATAAAATGCTCCAGGTTATGGTTGTTCAATCTGTTAAAGATTTATCAAACAAATCCATTCAAACACTACATTCAAATTACATAATAAAATACACAAAATATGTCCATTACATCCATTCAAACACTACATTCAACATGTCCATTACATTCATTTACATGATAAAGTACAAAAATACACAAAATACAATGACATAAGTCATTGCCTTGAAAATCTTATTCATCCTTTCAAGCCTTCTATTATGCTCATGAATTGCATTGTCCATCTTACCAAGCCTTCTCCTTAGATCATTAATTTCTTCTGTTCTTATATCTATGGAGGTAACATCGTTGTCATCATCATCTGCGAACCTGAAGTAATTGCAGTGTTCGTTTGCACTTTACAATGCACAAGAATCGATTAATCAAATCAGACAAATGAAATTTGTAAAAAGTAAAACATTAATTTATATAACAGATACTTACATATTTTGTTGGGCAAACAAAAAACACACGTCCTTCATTTCCATTGTCATTGGTTCGTACAATATGCATGGAAGCTGTTCTTCCATAATAACAGAATCTTGGCTTTAATCTTATGTTCCTATTATTAGTAGAAGATGAAACAATTTTTTTATCTGCATAAAAAATAAAAATAGATTCAACTACCTCATATTGATGGATAAGCGTCCTACTGATGCATAATTATGCATTCATAGTGATGCGATCCATAAACAGAGATCAATCTTGATAACAAAGCCACTTTAAATTCTTATGAATGTTGAATACTTATGAATGTTAAATGCATAAATTCAATGTTGATAACAAAGTGAATGCATTCATCTGATTAAAGAGTTCAATCTGTTTTGTCAAATACTTATGAATTTGAAGTGGCTTCCTTTAAATTCAATCTTCATAACAAAGTGAATGCATTCATCTGTTTAAAAAGTTCAATCCGTTTTGTCAAATACTTATGAATGTTCAACTCTTTAAATTCTTCATAGATTCTTAAATGCTTAAACCAAAGTGGCTTCCTATTATCATACAAAAAAAAATCTGTTTAATGACAAAATAGTTCAATCAGTTTTTTGCTTAAACCAATGTTCAACTCCCTAACAATCTGTTTAAAGAGTTCAATGAACAGGAAAAATGATAGAGTTCAAACAAAACCCCAAATAGATTCAATGGTAATGTTACTTATGAATCTGTTACTTGGAATGATCTTTTAAAGGTATCCATCTCAAACAGATGATAAAGTTGGATAACTATGAATACTTAGAATGATCTATCAAACAGATGATAAAGTTGGATAAAGAGATGGATTCTTAGAATGATCTATCAAACAGATGATAAAGAGATGGATACTTAGAATGATATCCTCTGTATCCTCTGTAACCATTCTCATGAATCTGTTACTTAGAATGATCTATCAAACAGATGATAAAGTTGGGAATACTTAGAATGATATCCTCTGTATCCTCTGTAACCATTCTCATGAATCTGTTACTTAGAATGATCTATCAAACAGATGATAAAGAGATGGATACTTAGAATGATATCCTCTGTATCCTCTGTAACCATTCTCATGAATCTGTTACAAAGTGCAGCGGGGTGCGACTCAGCGTGAATAGTGCATTTATGCCAAAGCCCCAGAAGTTCAACTTTTTCGAGCAGTCTAAGGTAGCAATCCAAGTTGTGTGATTTTGGACGAGAAATGCCTTCATTTTGATGCAAAATTGAGATAGAATGAGAGAACCACGAAGCTGGAACCTTTATGGAGGATAAGGCACTGTTGGGAGGACAAGTGTCAAAAATCTGGAGGTCACCAGGCCAACTGGTCGGCCGACCACTTTTTCTGGTCGGCCAGCAAGATTTTCTGGTCAGACTGCCATATAACTAGTTTGCAGAACAAAAACTGGTCCGCCAGCCACATTTGGTGGTTGGCCATGAAGAAAAACTGGTTTTCAGCCTTTCCCTAGTCCCTAGAAGAGAGCTCCTAGCCTTTCCATGTGTTGGGAGTGCTAAAGGTCCGAGTTTACCTCTGTTTCGGATGTGTTCCGTTGCTCCGCTTGTCCAAAATGTTTTTGCTTATTGAGTTGTTGCTATTTGTTTATCGAGTTGTCGGTCTTTATTTATCAAGTTACTAAGTCTTGCTTATCGAGTTGTTGGGTTTGTTTATCGAGTTGTTGCTCTCTATTTATCATGTTGTCAAGTCTTGCTTATCGAGTTGTAAAGTTGCTAAGGTTTTGTTGTTTGTTAGTGAGTTAAGTTTTTAGTTTGCTATGTTGGATCACTACCTGACTTGGCAACACACAGTGCTTAATTTCCATTCAATCTCTCTTTTTTTTGGTGCAAAATGATGCGATGCGATGCTAAGAGTACAAAATATAACACTTTTTAACAAAAAGCTGTTTCATTCCATCATAGCTTCCTTTTACAACATTTTACAACAGGGTACAAGTTTTAAAGAAAATAAAATTGCCTAACGCTGTACAATGTGCTACAACTACATGTAAAAAGAAAAATAAAGCAGGAACATCTACATCAGTGCTGTCGGGCTCAAGATCAGGAGGCTCTCTTCATCCTCTTCGGCTGATCAGCCTCTGCACCACCCCCACTAGCACCACCATCCGAATCGGATTCGCCATCCTCGGAATCCTCCTCGGCATCACCTCCGCTCTCAGAACCGGAACCAGAGTCATCCTCTCTACCTGCGGATGTCTCTGACTGAGGATGCGCAGACTCCTCCTCCTCGATGGACTCCTCGTCATCTCTGATAGGCGCTCTACATCTGCCTTGGTTGCGAGTCGAGTCCCTTCTCCCAGCTCCTCGAGAAGGCCTGGATGGCCTGGTCAGTAGCGGCAAGACCTGAAAAAGGCATTTTAAACACATCAGCCAAAGTATGTATATCAGATGCAGATGCGAGAATGTTGCATAGAGTGTGTGCATGCAGATACAGTGTGTGAATGTGGTGTGTCAGATGTGCTCTACACATGTAGTCAATCAATGAAGTGAAATGTTCAATTTCAGTATGTCATCAGAAGTATGATAAATGCAAGGAAATTGAAAAGTATTGAGATGCCGGAGGCAAACAGCAGCGTCTCCCTCCGCAAGACCATGCTCTCAAGTAAGACCACCACTCCGAGTAGCCCCTCAATATACTCTCTAGGAGGCTGTAGATACAAGTGCAAGTCATTAGTGAAGGAATGGGTGTCTAAATATCTGAGTGATAAATCAAAACTGTAAAGCATACCGGTGGTGAGTCAGGGTCACTGACATAGCGGTGATCTAGCCGCGGAGGCTCTAGCGGGATCTGGTATGGTGTCCCATACTCCCAACCTATCAGCTTGGTCGGGAGATCCGGCCACCCAGCATACTGGCAAATCGAGGGCATCCCTCTAGCCCTGCCCCTCGATATGCTAGCCCTGCTGGTGGAAGGGATATCTGAAGCTCGAGCGCGACTTGATGATGGAACATCAGTAGCTCTCCTCATGGGGGTACAAACACCTGTCAATGGGGGCATCAAGTACGTATGGCGGTAGGTCGCGCACTCTCCCTCCTGCAGCAATAGAACTGCATCAGTACCCAACATAAGAACCTCGACCTCCAAGGGAGTGAGTCTCTTAGTGGACCGCATGTCCTCTGGAGGTGCTGAGGGGATATCCTGAGCAGGGCTGCTCATCATCTGATGCAAGAAGTGATCCCCCAGAAACTAGGCCCTGCCAGCTGGCCCCTCAAATAAAACCCTGTATCGAGAAGCGGCCCACGCCCCATGGAACTGGAATCGGGCATCTCTTGACAAGGGTGCCCATAGCTACCAAGTAATCTGCGGATGGCAAGTGCATAAACGGATTAGATGTCATAAATATGTAAGATGAATCAGAGCTGAAAGCATGAAGAACTGAGAGTTCTTGATTGCCTCTGTCACTTGTACGGTGTCAAAGAACTGCCAGAGGTATAGCAGAGTCTCCCGAGGCCTCGGCCAACACCGACCCTCAAATCTGCGAGAGAAGGGGATCTCCAGAGGTACCTCAACCTCGAGCTCAGGAGCTAGCGTCGAGAAGTAGGCGTAAATCCATAGCTGTGAAAGACAAGACAGTAACTGTCAGTATACATAATGTATAAGGGAGTACAGAATGCTGAGTGTAGAATGTAGAATACAGAAAGTCATGTGTGCCGTGTGTAGTGTACAAGTAATGAAAAGCAGAAATGTAAATCAAAGAGGGCAAAACATACCTCCCAGGCTCGCTAGTAGCCACCTACTATATTTCCCTGCCCGCGGGAGGTCGCATTCATGTAGCAATAAAGGGTAATGAGGCCAACGCCACCCCAATCATACTGACTGGCCTATGATAGGTCTACCAAAGCACAGAGCAGATAAAGTCCAACTATGTTCCCCCTGTCGGAAAACAGAGTGGTCCTGAGGAGGAACATCAAAAATCCCCGAGCATACTGTTGTATGGCCTCGATGGTCTCAAGCAAAGTCCTCCTGAACCACTCAGAAAACCAGGTGTACCTGACCCTACCTGATGATCTCTCGACCGGGGGGGGCTCCCAGTAGATATATCCAAGCGGCTTCCCACTCGCCCATGTCCTCGTCATAAGGAATGGACCAACCTCCTATGTCCAGGCCGGTCAATACCGCAAAATCCAGAGGGGTGTCTCGGGAAGTCGCGCTCATGTAGTAGTAAAGGGTAGCGAGGCAAACACCACCCCAATCATACTCACTGACCTGTGATAGGTCTACAAGAGCACTGAGTGGATACAGCCCGACCGTATTCCTCCTGTTGGAGAAAAGTGAGGTCCCTAGGAGGAAAATCAAAAATCCTCGGGCATACTGCTGTATCGCCTCAATGGTCTCGGGCGTAGTCCCCCTGTACC